ATATCATTAACTTCTGTTAATGACCATATCATGGTTACTGAAAATACTTTCATCTGTATTCATAATTAATTACCTAATTCAGTCAGTAGTTAGTGAAAATGAAGTACCATCCCCCCATTAAGCTCTTTGCATGCATGTACACGAGGTTTAGAACCCAAATCTTCACTGAAGCCTTTGTGTCACTGATTAGCAACCTGTAGCCCTGGTTTTGGTCCTGGTAAATTGTCTGATTATACAATAACCCAGTACAGATAAAAGTGTAGTCACTTACTCCATGCTGCTTGCTTTTGGTCCAAGTCCCCAGGATCTAAGCCTGGGGACAAACATATAAATGAAAGAAATCCAGCTGTATTATTTTGGACTCAAAGTTCCAAAGCTCACATCAATTGATTTTTTTTCTTTAAAAATAGCTTTACTTGGTATTACATTATAATCAAGGGCCCAGCAGAGTGACACAGCTCAAGGTGATGTTTGTGATGTTGGCATCCATGTCAGAGATGTGGTTCAAGTCTGGCTGCTCTGCTTGCAGCCCAGCTTGCTGTGAATATACCTGGGGGGCAGCAGCAGCAGATGGCCCATGTGCCTGGGCCCCTACCACCTACGTGAGAGACCAAGGTAAGATTCCAGCTCCTGGCTTCAGCCTGGCCCAACACTTACTGCTGTGGCCATATGCAGAGCGAACTCACAGATGGAGGACTTTTCTCTTTCCATCACTTTGTCTTTCAAATAAGTAAATCAACCATAAAAAATAAACTGATATCTAAAAAAAAAATCAGTTTTAATTGAAGTTTTCCCCAGATTCAAAGATGGCTGTGTAGCCTGTCTGTAGGTCAAAATTAGCTGACCTCTTCCTGACGGATGTGCAGTTAGAGTTCCTTTTTGGACACGCACAGCTCCTTCACACATCAGTGGGCCCTGAGAAGTGGGAGCCAGAATTCTGGAAACACGTCTCTGAGACACTGCGTGGGAATGCTCTTTAAAAAAATGCATCCACAACAAAGAAGAGTGTAATTAGAACACTTACTCCTGTTATTACAAAACCGAACAAGCAAGCACCCAATAAAAGTTCTCCAAAGGTCAAGTAATGTTTTTGGCTGCTCCCTAATAATAGTATAGCCTAGCTCTTTATAGAGCGGAGTGTCTCACCCACCAGTCTGAGGCTCTTGTAAACTTTGGTTTATGTGAAAGAAGTCTGGGTTATAAGAAAAATGTTCCAAGGCATTCCTTTCCTTGCCAATTCTCTAACCATACTCAGGCTCCCTAATCAGCACTTGTTTTTTAAATGCCCTGCCTGTCTGTACCTCTTCAAGCTGTACTAACTTTATCTGCCCTTCTGCTGCGGTCTTGATCTCTGGCAGTTAAGGCCTTGTGGATCCTGGAACTGCCCCTCCTGGGGTTAACGATTTCCTAGAGAGAATGATTTACCTGCCAGTAGATCTCTGAGATACTGCACAAGAGAAAAGGCTGTCCCTTCCCCTTGACAAACACTCATCCCTGTTTTATTCCACCGAGGAGCCTTTGACCGCATCCTGCGCTGGGTTTGCATCATGAGTCACAGGGTCAGCTGTGACCATCTGGGTTGACTTTCTGATGGCCAGATCTCTTGTCTAGCAGAAGAAAGCAAAGGGAATTGTATGACCTCATCTTGTGCTTCCCACCTTTGATCTTTTCTTATTCCACGTGTTTCTGCATTCATACTGTGTCCGAAGAACCATGGACAATCAGGGTGGGGCTAGGGAAGCAGCAGGATTATATCACAGTATTTTTCCATTTGTATCCACCGGGATCTTATGAGAAACATCTGATTCCCACAAAAGATCGACCTGGAGAAATTTTAATCAATGCACTATTTACAGAGTCACAGATGGACTCCGGAGATCCAAGAAGGACTGGTGAAGACCACCAACAAGCAACTTGAGAAAATCAATACAACAGCCCAGTCTATAGAGGCAAGGAGGAACAGTAATGCCACACTCCAGCAAGGGCTGCAGCCATGGAAGATGGGACACTTAAAATCCGTGCAGCAAAGACAAATGCGACCAGTGCAAAAGCTGTGGTCTGTGGTATAAATAAGGCGGCCTGCCGTCTGCGCTCCTGTCAGCACTACGCGTCGACTCAAGCCCACTGAATGCTAGGTGATACAGTGGGCCAGATGATATCTGTAGACTTCCGCCTCCCAGGACACAGGCCAGCTAAGGGCAGAGAACAAAGAGCCAAGTGGAAAGTGTAGAACATGTTTTCAACATTTGGAAATTTTTATATAAAAAGCTTTTAAAAGATTTATTTATTTTTATCGCAAAGGCGGATATACAGAGAGGAGGGGAGACAGAAAAGAAGATCTTCAGTCCGATGATTCACTCCCCAGGTGGCTGCAATGGCTGGAGCTGAGCCAATTCGAAGCCAGGAGCTAGGAGCTCTTCCAGGTCTCCCACGTGGGTGCAGGGTCCCAAGGCTTTGGGCTGTCCTCGACTGCTTTCCCAGGACATAAATAGGGAGCTGGATGGGAAGTGGGGCCACCAGGATTAGAACCAGCACCCATATGGGATCCCAGGGCATGCAAGGTGAGGTCTTTAACCACAATGCTATTGCGGATAAAAATAAAATGTAAAAGATCCACTTCTCCCAGAAAGCAAATCACTATGTATGAGCTATTAGCACTTTGCCTTGGAATGCCGGATGCGTGTACCAGAAGCAAGGCCGCGTTCCTGTGGGGGGAAAGGAGAAAATGAACAGGGTTCACCAGGTGAATGACCTAGAGTACCCAGTCCCTAGGGTCAGGGCACAGACAAGCTTTGCATTCTCCATCACGTCACCAACCCATTCTAGTGTTCTGCACTCTCATTTCTGTCAGGGATAATAAAAATCTGTGGCCGAGCCTACATGTTCCTAGAATCTCAGGCTTTTGTTCAGGGTGTCCTGCTACCTTAACCACCTGCCATATGCAACAACAATCATGCGGCATTGCTGACCCCGATAAGTAGATGATAAACTGCTTTGTCTCCTGAGAGAATCTACTATCAAACAACCCTGTAAAAAAATACTCATTTTTATTTATTTGGAAAGCAGAGTTAGAGAGAGAATCTTCCATTTGCTGGTTCACTCCCCAAATGGCCATAATGGCCAGGGCTGGACCAGGCCAAAGCCAGAGGCCAGATTCATCCAAGTCTCTTACACGGGCACAGGGGCCCAGGGTTCTGGGCCATCTTCCACTGCTTTCCCTGGCATATTAGCAGGAAGTTAGATGGGAAGCAGAATGACCAGGACTGGAACTGGCACTCATATGGGATGTTGGTATTGCAAGCAACAGCCTAACCTGTTATGCCACAACTGTGTGTTTTTTCCCCTTGAATAAGTTGTGAAAATTCTGTCTCAAATCTTCAGCGCAGTTCATCAACAGCAGAATCACTTGACCAGGTTTCTATTCTGCAAGTTTCGGCTTGATGTCTGGAATCCCAGAGACCTCACTTGCTGCTGCTATGAAGTCAAGTGAACACAAGAATGGACTCAAGGGGATGGTTCAAAGAGGTGTAGAAAAGAACTGGAGTCAAGGACTGCACGTTTCAGGGGGAGGAAGGGAGCCCTTCGATGACATTGTCACACTGGAAGAAAAACAGTCTAACATTCAACAGACAGGCTTGCAACATTCAGGGACAAAAAGTGTCCCAGTAACTAGAGAAGTCTTTTGAGATTTGCCATGTAGCCCTACTAGACTTCCTTTAGCCCTGGCACCTAGCCCTGTGTCAGGGGGCTGACCTGTCTGCATGGCCATCAACTTCTCTCTGGCTTCTGCTAAGATTCTGGTTAGCCACCCGGGCCCAGCCGGCAGATTAGAGGGAGGAGGCTGTGATGATGGGACGTGCATATACTTTGCCAGTTTTCTTTCCTGTGGGTCTCCACTCAAAACCGCTGTCAGCCCACCCCTTTACATCCCATCTTTCTCTTTCCTTTGCTTCCTCTCCTCTGGGGAAGGAAAAATAATGGCACGTGTCAAAGGTCACCTGCATCCTTCAACCATACCCCATAACCATTACAGAACACCCCTCCTGTCTTGGTCTAGAAATTTATCCAGGTGACACTGTGGCTTGGCGTGTGAAAGCCACTACCTGCAGTGCCAGCTGCTGATTCAGGTCGCGAGTACTTGGTTCCCTGCACCAACGTGGGAGCTCCGGGTTCCAGGCCCACTCAGCCATTTGGAAAGTAAAACTACGAATGTTAAGATCTCTCCCTCTGCCTCCCTCTCTGTCAGCAGCTCTGCCTTTCAAATGTTTTCTTTTTAAAAAGTTAATTTTAAAATCTAAATCGAATCTCTTGAAAATCACCCCTATATTACTTCTAGCACATTCTAAGGTTACTTAGGATTGCAGCAACACGAAGCGGGCTGGGCGTTCCCAAATGCATTCGGGATGGCCTGAACCCTTCTACCTCTGATAGCGGCAGATAAACGGGGACAGGGTCCCCGGACCTGTGGATCAGGTGAAGTGAACGCTGGAAAGAAGGCAGGGAGCGAGGTTCACTTCATCATGGCGAGGCTGTGAGTCACAATGGCTGGGTAAGTGGGCTCTCTGAAGACGTTTAGGGCGATTCTGTCGCACTTTTATGGCCAAGGCCAAGGCCCAGACCCAGGAGGTGCCTCGGTCTGCTCTCAGTCAATTGCAATTCCCGGCCTAGCCCGCCGCTCCCCAAAATGCCCCCGCAAGCTCTTCCCGCAGGAGCCTCCGCACCATGGACCAGGAGATAGGCTGCACTAGTTAAAAGCCCTCTCACCACCCCACCCAAGGGATCTCTGTGGCCGACAGCCAACAGCGCGCACCCCAGCCCCAGAAACACTCAGGCTAACGCAGCGGTGTGAGTCAAGTTCAAGGCGCCCTCCGAGAGCCTGGAGGCCGGGCAAGGGGCGGTACCCTGCCGGCCCGGCCCCGGGGGTGGGACGCGTACTGTGGGTGCGGGCAAGCCGGCCGCCCACCGCCCCCTGGAGGCCCTCACGACTGCCCGGGGCCAAGGAAACCCCTCCCCGCGGGCGGAGACAGCTCCGAGAGTCGACGCCCGGCCTCGGCCGCCAGGACCCAGAAGCTGCGGCGGCGCGGAGCATGGGCCTGTGATGGCCATGGAAGGCTACAGGGGCTTCCTGGGGCTGCTGGTGTCGGCGCTGCTCGTCGGGTTCCTGTCAGTGATCTTCACCCTTATCTGGGTCCTCCACTACCGCAAGGGGCTTGGCTGGGACGGAGGCGCTCTCGAGTTTAACTGGCACCCGGTGCTCATGGTCACCGGCTTCGTCTTCATCCAGGGCATCGGTACTGGGCACCCCCCCGGGGATGTGGTAGCGGGAGGCGGCGCGCGGAGGCACCGGGCGCTCTGGGACGTGGGGTGCTCCGAGGAAAGAAGCTGCGGGAAGCAGGGCGGGGAGCGCTCCCGGTCCGCGCGGGAAGCCGCCCGCGGCCGCACGCAGTGAGCCGAGCCGGGAGCCGCGGGAAGCACCGCGTGGGCCTCGCCGGGCGCTCGGCGGCCCGGCCTGGTTGCCCAACTTGCCTGCAGGCTGCGAATTCAGAGGCGACAGCGGGCGGAAATGGAGGAGGCCAAATTTGCCTGAAAAATTTGTCTGAAAACTTGCGCGGCTCCCCCGGGAAGGGGTGGTTGGCGCTGGTCCCCGAGTGCTGCGCTCGGCCGAGCCCCGGGGCCGCTCGCTGCCCTGCCCGGCCTTAGGACGGTCTGGAGCGCAGCCAGTGGGAGGCCGCTTGGAGGAAAGTTACCCCGCGGGGGCTTTCTGTCGGGGCCCTGGCCCCGAATGAGCCCGGGATGGAAGAAGTCCGGAGCTGGCCCGCGGGTGCGCCGGGATCCCCTCCTCCCCACCACGGCTCGTGTCTCGGGCTGGCGGCTACCTGGGACTCCTCCCGCCCCCCGATCCCGGGGACGCAGCCGGCGCTGGCAGGGTGGTGGGTGTGGATCGTGGATGCGTCGCGGTGTCCCCAGGTCCCCCCTCTCCACCCCGTCCCCGAGGTTTGCCTCTGCTGCGGTGTGTCTGCTGGCTGGTGGCGCAACAGCGTCTGTGTGTAACCCTTTGCAGAAGGTAAAGTTGAGGCCGTGGTTTTGAGAAAGTACTGAGGAAACGGGTTTGTGCCATAGAGAGGGAAGGGTTTGGGAGAGATGCCACCCCTGCCTTGTCCGTGCCAGTATTTAACTTTCTATGTGCAACGACTACAGGAAGCATCGCCCTCCTTCCTAACGGAGACTGGTGGGTTTTGGTTTTATTCTATCGTAAACTTGGGCGAGTGTGGCCATCGGGTAGCCACCCTGAGAGGCAGTAAGTTGTGCTCCGTTCCCTGAGGCTCTGTCCTGCCCAGGCTGCCCTGCTGCGAGGCTGGCATCAGGCCGCCTAGTGATCCCATTGCGCAATTCGCGGCTATTTTGCCAGAGCACCAGAATGAGAAAAACAGGCCCTGTCACTAGGAGCAGGCTCCTTCGTGCGTGGTCCAGCCCTGCAGCAGCGCCCGGGGCTGGCAACACCTGTTGGTTCGCAGAAATAGCAGTTGGCTTATTCTCAGCTTCTCCGAGCCGCTTCCTGATACCCAGGAACTTCCCAGGGGGGTTTGAAGAGGAACACACAGGTGAAAACAGGAAAACTGTTACCTGACTTACCAAAGAGATGCCAGAGTCACAAAATGGCTGGTGTTTGGTTAGGCGCAAACAGGTGGAACTGGGCAGGGACAGTCAGTAACTTAGCTGTGGAAGTAGAGGGTTTTCAGTGGCATGATTCTCAAAAGGTTCGTTTCTTTGCTTTTCTGGCAGTATGCCTGTTTCCTGCACAATCTTAGAGAAACAAAAGCTTCATCCAAAATACACCTTGGATCTCTTTGTTCAGTGGAGAGGTTATTACAGTTTTCCTTAACAGGTCTTCTTTCTGTAAATTTTGGACTTCTGTTAATCTTGTTTGAAATAACTTTGAGGTAAAACGTGTAAATGGAGGTTTGGGAATTTTTGTCTTCAGTTCTTGGGCAACCCTTTAGGCTTAGTGATTGTGTTTGTGCCACCTTTCCATCCTGTTGGACGTTTGGGTTGTGGATTTGCAAAGCACTTGAATAGCACATAGCATGTTTAGTTGATGGGAACAGAAATTGTTAGCGTATGTCAACACAGGCACAGTTCTGTGTCTTGGCCCCTGAATACACCTCACCCAAGCCACAGGAAGGCTCCAGCAATGCTTTTCCAACACATACTGAAAGGATGACATTGCCCTTGAACCAAAGCTACAGAAGAATCTTAAAAAGAAAGAGGCAGTACAAATTTTTTTCCACTTACTATGGGATTCTGACCTGATCAACCCATCATGAGTTCAAAATTCCAAATATGGTTTGCATTGGCTGCAGACCCTTGGAACCTGGAAACAGTGGTGGCAGGTGCAGGTGACAGGCTGTGAGGGGGCCTGCCATGTCTTAACAGGCTTTTATAGAGTGTCTAGTGATTTCAGAGAGGAGTGTTTTAAGCCAGCAGATTTTACTTCTGATAACTGAACGTGATGTAGTGGAGTTCTTACAAATAGTTGGAGGGGAGGGGAGGAAAGAGACACTGGCTGTTGCTCCAAGCCATCCCCTCCCCCCAAAGCTTTATAAATACAGTACACAGTGGGCAATATTTGAAGCCTTGTGAGAATAAATATGATTCCTTTGAAACATGCTGATGATGGCAAGGCTAGCACAGAAGTTATAAAATCTTTCCCTTGAGTCAGTCTGTCTGTCCCTCCCTAGCCACATATCTCCTCCACATTTCTAGTATATTTTGAAAAATGGCTGTATTCCAAAACAAAGTGTAGCACACTATGGGAAATCTAACACTAAAATAACATGTTAAACTAGTGGGAAATCTTGCTAACAGATTCTGCCATGAATAAGGAAGCACTTAGTAGAGGCTCTGTGCCTCTCTAAAAGGAACATTTCCCATGAAATAAGTATACTACGGGGAAATCAGAGAAACAAGCCTTGAAAAGAAGGCATCCGAAAAGGCAGAGACAATTAAGTGCTCCCAAAGTGGCAGCTGACCTTTAAAAGGGTTCAGCCAGGCGGAATGTGTTCTTTAGTAAAAGGTAGGGAATTCAGGTGTCTACATTTAGTGAAAAAGAAGTCTTGGCAATTCTATACCCCTTGCTTTCCCACCTGTAAAACTCTTTTATTGTGAAAACTGAGGGAAAAGTAATCAGATAGTTTAATGATCTCAATTTAGTTTTGTGACACAATGTGACTACATTTAAGCAACATTTAAAAAGGTGAACAGAAAGAAATTAAGAGCAGTTCTTAAAAGGCGGTGAAAAGGGGACAGTGCTGTGGTGTAGCTGGTAAAAGCTGCCGACTCCAGTGCCGGCATCCCATGTGGGTGCCAGTTGGAGTCCTGGCTGCTCCACTTGCAGTCCAGCTTCCTGCAAATGCTCCTGGGAAAGCTGCCAAGGATGGCTGAAGTGCTCAGGCCCCTGTCACCCTCCTGGGAGACCCAGATGAAGCTCCTGATGTCAGCCTGGCCCATCCTTCATCATTGTAGCCACATTGAACTAATGAATGGGAAGACTGTAACTCTGGCTTTCAAACACACAAATACAGAGTGTCTTTAAAGAAAGGCAGTGGAGATACCCTGTTAGTATATGTAACTGTGACCAGATTCCAATATCATTTACATATGCTTAAAAAGGCCTTGGGGTGAAACCTTGCAGAGCATTCCCTGTATCTCCCCCTAGTGAGCCTTTGGGGAGGCTGTTGAGAATAAAGCATCGTGCTTAGGAAAGAGAGGGGCTTCTGAAGCCTGAAGTGACAAAGCAACTCAAAACCCCTTGTTTACTTATTCAACTTTTAAAACTTTTTCTATTTTTGAGTTACAGAGGGGAAGGGAGAGACAGACATAGAGAGAGAGATCATCCGTCACTGCTCACTCTCAAGATAGTCGCAGTGGCCTGTGCTGGGCATGGCCAAAATCAGGAGCCAGGAGCTTTATCTGGGCCTCCCAGGTGGGTGGCAAAAGCTCAGTGACTTGAACCTCTTCCAAAGCCTTTCCCAAACCATTAGCAGGGAGCTGGATTGGGAGTGGAATGACCAGGACTCAGACCTGTGCCCAAATGGGCTGTCAGCATCACTGGCAACAGCTTTTCCTGCCTTGCCACAATGCTGGCCCCAAACTCATTTATAAACATGAGCAGGCATCGTAATAATATGTCATGAGTTGTCACCATGCTTTCTAAGTGATGATCTTGCTCATTGCTGCATCCCCAGCATGAGAACACCTAGACAGTAGTTGAATGAATGAACAGTGATTTCTGAAAAATCTTTGCATTACTAGTAACCAAATGCACAGGAGCAGCCACTCACTGGTGGCGGTAATGATAAACTCCAAAGGCAAAAGCACCTGTCCTTTTCCCTAGCGATGCTGCTGTGCAGCCGTATTACAAGCATGGGCTCACTCAGCCTCGGGGGAGAATGGGCATGGTGCTGGCCCTGGAATGCAATCCTGTGCCAAGGCCTCTGGGTCCTCACAGTGTCACAGCACCAGCTCTTGCTGGGCGCCTCCCGCCCCCTCCAATCCCCCAGCAGCAGCATTCCATCCGCTCTCCCTCCTGTATGTCTCTCTTAATGGTTGTTCCCAGCAGGTTGTATTTCTGTAGCCTTAAAGCAAACCAGATTCTTGACCCTCTGATCCATCCAATTTTCTGCTGGCCTTGCCACATTATTTTCTGAAATGCCAGTCTTACAACATGCAAAATATTTCCTCCTGTTCTCTTTCAACCTTCTCCAACCGTAGCTCTGGCCCATTGCTCCTAACGTAGTAACCAGTAGCACCCACACTGCTAATTCCTCCGAGGAGGCCCAATTTCCATGATCCCTGCAAGATATAGGTATTGCATTGGTGACCCCCTCTACCTGCCACCCTGCCAAATGGATCTTCGTCCTGATCCTGGGCACCTGCAAGCATGACCTTATTATGGAAACAAGGCCTTTGCAGATCTAATGAAGGATCTTGAATATCATGATCTAATGACTGGTTTCCTGAGAAAGCACAAAATTTTTAAGCACAGGGCAGGGAGACCTTATAAAGCTGGTGGCATGGAAGGGATGATGGGTCTACCAAGCAAGGAACTTCCAACCCAGTGACTGCTAGCTGCCACCTGACATTGAGGGTGACAGGCAACAGAGTCGCCCTCAGAGCCTCCAGAAGGAACCAGTTCTGCCAACACCTTGATTTTTCCATTGTTACTATGAGAGAATACATTTCTGTTCTTTTTTTTAAAAAAAAAAAAAAAAAAAAGATTTATTCGGGTCTG